GGTGGGTTTTAAGGGTGGTTTTAGAGTTTGGAGGGGGTTTGGGGTGGGCTCAGTGGGTTTTAGAGGGGGTTGGGAGAGTTAGGAGGGAGTTTGGGGTGAGTTCAGTGGGTTTTAAGGGGGCGTTTTAGAGTTTGGGAGCAGTTTGGGGGAGTTTTGGGGTGAGTTTAGTGGGTTTTAGGGGTGGTTTTAGAGTTTGGGGGAGGTTTAGGGTGGGTTCGGTGGGTTTTAAGGGTGGTTTTAGTGGTGGTTTTAGAGTTTGGGGTGAGTTTAGTGGGTTTGGGGTGAGTTTTAGGGGTGGTTGGGAGAGTTTGGGGTGAGTTTTAGGGGTGGTTGGGAGAGTTTGGGGTGGGTTTTAAGGGTGGTTTTACAGTTTGGGGTGAGTTTAGTGGGCTTCCTGCGGGGGAAGGGGTTTTAAGGGTGGTTTTAGAGTTTGGGAGAGGTTTGGGGTGGGTTCGGTGGGTTTTAAAGGGGGTTGCAAGAGGTTGAGGTGAGTTTGGTGAGTTTTAGGGGTGGTTGGGAGAGTTTGGGGTGAGTTTTAAGGGTGGTTTTACAGTTTGGGGTGAGTTTAATGGGTTTTAAGGGTGGTTTTACAGTTTGGGGTGGGTTTTAAGGGTGGTTTTAGAGTTTGGGGTGGGTTTTAAGGGTGGTTTTAGAGTTTGGGGTGGATTTTAAGGGTGGTTTTAGAGTTTGGAGGGGGTTTGGGGTGGGCTCAGTGGGTTTTAGAGGGGGTTGGGAGAGTTAGGAGGGAGTTTGGGGTGGGTTCAGTGGGTTTTAAGGGGGTGTTTTAGAGTTTGGGAGACGTTTGGGGGAGTTTTGGGGTGAGTTTAGTGGGTTTTAGGGGTGGTTGGGAGAGTTTGGGGTGGGTTTTAAGGGTGGTTTCACAGTTTGGGGTGAGTTTAGTGGGTTTTAGGGGTGGTTGGGAGAGTTTGGGGTGGATTTTAAGGGTGGTTTTAGAGTTTGGAGGGGGTTTGGGGTGGGTTCAGTGGGCTTGGTGAGTTTTAGGGGTGGTTGGGAGAGTTTGGGGTGGGTTTTAAGGGTGGTTTTAGAGTTTGGGGGATGTTTGGGGTGGATTCAGTGGGTTTTAGGGGTGATTGGGAAAGTTTGGGATGAGTTTAGTGGGTTTTATGGGGGTTTGAGAGAGGTTGGGGTGAGTTTAGTGGGTTTTAGGGGTGGTTTTAGAGTTTGGGGTGAGTTTAGTAGGTGTTAGGGGCAGTTGGGGGAGTTTGGGGTGGGTTTTAAGGGTGGTTTTAGAGTTTGGGAGAGGTTTGGGGGAGGTTTGGTGAGTTTAGGGGTGGTTTTAGAGTTTGGGAGAGGTTTGGGGTGGGTTCGGTGGGTTTTAAAGGGGGTTGCAAGAGTTTGGGGTGAGTTTAGTGGCTTTTAAGGGTGGTTGGGAGAGTTTGGGGTGAGTTTAGTGGGCTTCCTGTGGGGGAAGGGGTTTTAAGGGTGGTTTTAAGGGTGGTTTTAGAGTTTGGGGTGGGTTTTAAGGGTGGTTTTAGAGTTTGGGGTGGGTTTTAAGGGTTAGGGTTAGGGTTAGGGTTAGGGGTTAGGGGTTAGGGTTAGGGTTTTAAGGGTGGTTTTAGAGTTTGAGGGACGTTTGGGGTGGGTTTGGTGGGTTTTAGGGGTGGTTTTAGAGTTTGGGGTGAGTTTAGTAGGTGTTAGGGGCAGTTGGGGGAGTTTGGGGTGGGTTTTAAAGGTGGTTTTAGAGTTTGGGAGAGGTTTGGGGGAGGTTTGGTGAGTTTAGGGGTGGTTTTAGAGTTTTGGAGAGGTTTGGGGTGGGTTCAGTCGGTTTTAAGGGGGGTTGGGAGAGTTTGGGGTGAGTTTAGTCGGTTTTAGGGGTGGTTGGAGG